TTTAATTAAAAAAGTATTTAAACTTTAGTATCACACTATAAAAAATATTTCAAGTTAAATGCTAGTTTCAATTCTCTACTTTCCCATTTCATACAAAATGATTTGTATGTATATTTCTTGCTTTGCGAATAGATATTTCCTATTTTACAAAAAACGACCAAATATGCGCATCTGAAATACGTCAACTTATTTGCCATAAAAATAAAATTTGAATTCATGAACTATACAAGATGTTGAAATCAATATTTGTAGCACACATCGATGAAAATCACTTATGTAAATATAATATTCGCGAAATGTACGTGTATTGAGTGAATAAGCAAAGGAATGGAAAAGCATTTCTGACAATGATATATACTCATATAGATATATATATATATATATATATATATATATATATGTATGCATACATACATACATATATAATTGCACCTGCAAATATATAAATACACATCCTTTTTTTCAAATATTTCTAATTTTTTCAAATGTTAATTTGAACCTTCTTGGATTATCTTCTCAATTGGCAATGTAAATGATAGATGTTTCGAGAAAAAAATGTGTTGAAATAAGAATTTTTTTTACTAAATATCAACATCGTTAAACACAGTTTTCTAAATGTGCATTGCTTACTATATACAATGTAGTGCTAAGATGTTTCTTGTGATTTGATCAGAATTATAATTAGATATAATAGAAATTTTCCATGATTACGTTTTGGTCGCGTTTCACCGAAAATTTCCTTTTTTCTCAAAATGCTTTTCAATATCCAATTGGGGCGTGTGCATTGTGCATTTCAGTCGAATGCGAAGTTACATGAAACCTACATTTGCCACTCATACACATACAAGTTTAAGAAAATGAAGAGAAATCTATATAAGGAATGTTTGCAGAATCAGAATTTGAGGAAAAAATCGAGAGAAAACTTCTTTATAATGATACATATATATATATATATATATATATATATATATATATATATATATATCTACATATGCTTGTGTGTATAAGTATTTATATAAAAAACACTTTGAGATGATTATTTTCGCTTTTCTATTCTGATTCTGGTAACATTCCATATATAGATTTATATAAATAGGGGGAAAATTAGGCTCACATATAGAACATATGCCTTCACAACATTGTAAATTTATTTCTATTTACATTTCTTTTTACCTTCAGTATACTAATATAGCATATCTAGTCATTGAGTAGAAAATACTTCAACTTTTTGAAGTATACGGTTTTTTGTCAATGTATCGAACCTTTAATTTAAGAATAATTTGTCACATTACTATATATATTTTTTGGATTTTGCCTTAAGATATTTTAATACATATTCGATTTTACATTTTTTTTAACAGCAATCAGAACTCAAGAGCCAGATAAGCCTATTTGACTTATTACTATGTCGATTTTACAGATGGCAACCCGAACAGTTGTCTCATCCCTGTGTGATACATTTTATTATTACAATTTTTGTAATGGGGCAAAGAATTCAATGATGCAGCAAGGTCGGATGAGGAAACATATTGATATCTATATTTTAAAGTAAAAATTAATTAAACTAATTAATTAATAATTAAGATCAGGCTCCTCAAAGCGGAATCCAACCAGGAACCTCTGATTTGGTTCCAGTCGTTCTAACCACTTAGCTACGAGCAAGCCTATTTATTATATTTTTAAATATGTTTTATGATTAGTTGCTTGAAAATATAATATTGAAGTATTATTGTATTATAATATCTTAAGTGTCAACTTGAGCATAAATAAGATGAACTACAATATAGGTGAGACGCTATAAGGCACTTGTTGGGGAAGCAGGGTAAATTACCCCAATTGGGGTGAATATGGAATTTTTGTGGGTAAAAAGTATGTATATTTATTTAATACGCATTGTATTTTTAATGTAGTTATGCCTATGGGGGTAATCTCTCTTCATCATGGGAGTAAAGTCAACTTAGACAAACATATTTTGGAGTAATGATTAAAAAAGTTCTTTGACCGCTGCTGTAGGGCAACCGCAGTACAAACCTGTTTCATAAGAATAATCATATTTGCAACTCTTTCTTAATGCTAATTAATGCTATTTTTTATATAACATTTTTATATTAGTACAGGCAACATAGGGCCTAGAATCCAAAGGCATTATTAAGAAAGAGTTGGAAATATGATTATTCTGATAAAATAGGTTTGTGCTGCGGTTTAAAGAAAATATACATATTGTGAATATAAATTATGACTATCATTATATTTATAACGGGTATGAAATTAATAAACATTTCACAATTGTCATTTACAATAAACCGCCCATGTATAAGCTCGAGTCGGAGCAATATACAACAAAATTACTGGAAATATCAGTCGAATGCAATACACGTCGCGGAAGCTACAGACTATAACGGAACTATTAACAAGAAGATTAGGAAAATCAGTGTTTTCCCGCGTTTGGAAATTCCCTATCTGGCGTCTCGTTGGAAAACTGCAGGCAATCGAGTCGTACTTTAGCACAATCGCTTCGACGTGACGACGCCTCGTTGCGCCTTTTGGAAAGCAAATCACTAGCTCCGCAGTGCGATATGCATTGTATTTGTACGATATACATATATACACATAATATATGTATATATATATATATATATATATATGATTGATGTCCCAGAATTCAACGTAATTGTCTTGAATTATAGGCTTTCGAATGCAACTTGAAACTTTGATATAATTATGATCATTCTACGGTTACTGTAGCTAATTTTCAATAATTAAGTTTATTAACTTCTCGTAGCGTAAGTTATTCTAATAGTCTAAAAATCGAATTTTTTTTGCACATCTTCACGTTTTGAAGGTTTCTGAACATTTTGGCATACCTTAGAAAAAATGTATGTGGTGTGATTTGAATGGTTTAAAAAACATTCTTGTTTAAAAGTTTTCAGAATTATCATTGATAGAAAGATGAGCTGATTTGTTTTTGACAGAGGCCATTTCGGAGATATGGAGCTAAATGTGCAGAAAATTGTAGTTTTTGAAAAATAAAAGCATCCGATTTGATTGATTTGAAAAAAAATCTGCTTGTGTTGACGGAAGAATTGCTTTTGGGGGGGGGGGTAAATCAAGATTAATTTCTTATAATTTTTTTTTGGATGTCGAAAATAATTTCGATTTTATTTTCAATTCTCGCTTAAGTTCTAACGCTCACTTACAAAATTTAAACAAATAATTTAAACTCTGCAACTCAGTTTATATAATTCTTATGAATATTATAAAATGTTCTTCATTTTGAATCCGATTGATTAAGATTCATTTATTTACTTTTTTGTAATACTTATATGAACTTCAATTTCAACTATAAAATAAGAATTATAAAAGTTACAGTATTTATAATAATCCATTTGAAAACATTTAATATTCCTCGATTATTTCGTTTTGGAACGGGAAATTCCAGCAATTTGCCTTAAAGCTCGATGCTATACACAAATAGATATAACATTTCTAGGACCACAGTCCAAAATAAACACACAATTTTGCCAAATTTTCAAGAATTAAGACTTGTTGTAGAACTATGAACTTACATTTTTAAAATTGGTCAAATTTGAGGGCTCCATTTTTAAAAAATCATACTAAAGTGTGTTGGCAAGTTTTAGCAAAAGTTGGCGCATTTAATCAGGATTATAAAATGGTAAACTGATGGATGATTTTATTATGAAAAAACAAAAACCTAAAAATGACATGATTTTAATATTGAATACGCGTAAGATTCAATGTGCGAGTGAGAAATATTTGAAATAAATGTGAGCAAAACGCATTAGCCTTTATCGTGTTATTTTTAGGATTTTATTTTTTTACTCGAAATTTTTCAATCACCGAATTATCAAGTGTTTCACAATTTTTCGTTCATGATTTTCGATTTCAATTCAAAATAAAAATCTGTATGATCATAACTTCATATTTGGTTCAAAAGTTTTGTGTCAGTGCTTTAATAACGCACCAGCACCAACTTATTATGCTTTTTACAGTTTTATTTTAGGGATCCAAAACTTTGCTCAATTATTTGTAGTTATCTGTGAAATATATATTTGTAGTCTTATTGGATAGACCATAAGAATTTTATATTATCTATTTCTTCATCAATATTTATATATAATATATTTTTTTAAAAAAATTATATAAATAGTACATCAATGTTGATACCATAATTAAATTATTTTGTGTATAAAAAATTGTACAGTTTAGTTTTAGGTACCCAAAACTTTGCTAAATTTATTGGAGTCATCTGTAAAATATCTATACTTCTATATCAAAATTTAGATGTAGTATAATTTTTCTTAATTTATATATAAATAACATACGAATGTTAATGCCATAACTAAAATATTTTGTGTATAAAAAATGTATTAAACGATTAATATAAACAACTCGAAAGTTATTCATAAACATATTTTTTAAAATATAATAAAATAGCAAGTAAAATCGTCTAAATACTATATTATCTCGGTCTACAATTTCAAATAGTGCCTACCTATGCATAATTTTGAATATTCTGCGAATGTTGCGAATTTATGAAAATTAGTAAACAACGACTAAAGTTAGCATAAATGATGATCGCGTTTTATCTTGGCGTCGTGTTAGCCCTATTTACGATAATATCTACATGGCTGTGTAAAGAAATGTATAAAAGCTCAAATCCGGCGAAAGCTTAAAGAGAAAATGCGAGCCGTTTAAGCAATTTTAATTCCTACGCCCGTGGAGTCTTTTTAATCCGGATTTAACGAAACCGTCTATTCCCGAAGTTATTTCTGCGGTTAAATAATACAAATTTTTATATATATATATATATATATATATATATATATATAACTCACAACTCTTCCATCTTGGTTAGTAAATTTATCGTGGAATGAATAGAGTTTTGCATACTATACAAAAAATAATACAGAGATATAAAATGCTTTTTAGCAAAATGATGAAATGACTTTATATTGATAACTTGATTTTCTTTATTTTAGATGTGAATGCAGTAAGCTGGGAGGAGTGGTGGACGTACGATGGAATTTCAGGTGAGATTATTTCAGTTTTGTACTTTTTATTTTTCAGTAAATATTTCAATCAAATTTATCATTGATTTATATAGGGTTTAAAGGTGATATTTGTAATAATAATGAAAAATTGTTTGATATTCTTCATTGAATTCAATTTTTTTAAGCAGTTCGTTAAGGCTCAAAAATTCCAATTAACAAATTTTCAGGCAAGTAAATCTGAGTTTTAATTAGTTGATATTCAAGTATTTGGAGTAAAAACCACATTGGAAATTTCGATGTCTCAAAATTCTTCTTGGAACCATGGTTTTCTGAACAAAGTTTTCTCATTTGTAACTCATAAGGCACTAAAACTGAATGTGGCCCCAAAAAATTTGATTAATTCTAATATATCAATACATAATAGACTGTCGTTTTACATATTTATGACGATCTAAAATTTCTACGAAAAAAATTCTGAACTTGAATAAGTATTTATAATACATTTTGCAAATTCGAACGAGTAATATTGTAATATAACAGCATGAAAAATAATCAATATTTTTGGACATCAAACACTCTTAACCTAAACAAGATTAATTTGTATAAAATCCTGTCTTTGCATTGGTAATCTTATTTTTATTGTTTCTCAAAAGTTTAATTTTAAATTTTGTCCTCTATTTTATTTACTAAATAAATTTTTCCTAAATGGAATAACGTATTTATTTACAAATCGGTTTATAAACTACATGGTCGATAACTGCTAAAATTTATCTCCTTTGCATAACGAAGTCAAAACATGTTAATCACATGCAGCATTTATCTTAATCGACTATTACCAAAATATAGAAATTGTGTAAAAAATATTGAAAACAAATCAAATTATTATATCATCCGTAACACGAAAGGTCAATTATGATAATGATGTTTTTTACAGCAGATTATCGAAATTTGTTAGCGATAATTCATTTCGAAGCTTCGAGAGCAAATAATTAATTTGGATGTGTGGCTAAATATATATGAAAAAATTGTAAATATTATTATAAATTCAAAATGTTTACTAATATAGCACGTTAGACACAACTTCAAAAAACTATCAAATAACTTATATAATATAAAACTTATCTTCAATTAAAGTTTACTTTTTATAAATCAAATATTATGAAAATAATTATAAATTAAAATATGGATTTAAATATATTATATCCTATGTATCTGTAATTGTATCTATGACTTTTGATATATTGATCTTTTTGTAAAATTTTGCCTAATGAAATAGGTTTTTAATTATTACTATTAAATTATTATTATTTAACCTTATTATTAAACTTTATTAATTAATTTATTATTATTATTATTCAACTGTATTAAATTAGGGTGGCAACTAAGTAAAAAAGATTTTTACTCTTAGATGTTTAAAATGATTTTTTATGTTTGCTCACGTAGTCCAAACGTAAAACACCATTTGTTATAAGATAGTAGGTAATTCAAGTGCAGATCAGTAAAAAAGTTTTTTTTTTATCGCTTGCGTACTTTTCGTTTGGCATTCATTGGAAAATGCAAATTAAATCTTTTTTTTTGTCATATTTCACTTTTTTATTTCTGAAAAGATGAACAGATCTTAAGGTCACAAATAGTTATGCACTGTTTTTTGGTGACTAAGCCATAAAGACGGCAGTGTCAAAATTAGTTTGCCAAATTTTGTTCTGGTGACTTTCACTCACAGGTGAAAATAATTCTGGTCGTCCAGCTGAAGTTGATTAAACAGGATGGTCTTTTTTGAACTCTTACCACCCAACAATAGGATCAATTCTGATGTCTTCATTGAACACAAGACAAAATTGAACAAAGTACTTAAAGAAAGGCTTTCTGCATTGACTCTTTGAAACTGTGTATTATTCCATCATTAACATCAAATTATCTGGCTATTCGGCCAAAATGATTGGAATGTTTTCCACATCAACAATATAGTCCTAATCTTGCATCTGCTTATTATCTTTTGTTTTAATCTTTATAAATCTCGTCCAATGGTAAACTAATTCTATTGACTATGATGGTGGCAAGTTGTACCTGACCAAGTTTTTTGCTTATAAAACCTAGTAGTTTTATAATTGTCGGATTAATGATGCTGCAAGAAGGTGAAAAAAGTCATTAATTAAAATTGGCAATTCATTACAGAATTATTTTATTTAGTTCTAAAAACTTACTTTGTGCTAACATTATAAATGACCACAGATATAGTTAAAACAATGCTTTTTTGTGTTGAATTTTTCGGTAATTATTAATCAAAAAGTCGTTCACAAATTGGTATATATCTGTTATTAAATGTATCAAAACATGTTCTTCTCGTTGTATCGTTTCTCATCAGTAAAATATGCCAAAGGAAATGGTTTTCCTTTCGGAAAAGTGCTATGTCTTCCATTATATGCCGAGTTCGCTAAATCTAGGCAAGACCACAAAACGTTTTCGAATTGTAATGCCGCCATAAAAATATGATCTGATATTCCGCATTGCACAGCGCTAGAGTTGCATAACTTATGGGACTTTTTGGATATTTTTATGAGTTTCCTGTTCCATGCTTTATATTTTAATTTCTGAATTTATAGTTGTGATATAGGACAAATTTTGAATAAATGTTATACGGGCCGTAATATTTCAATGCGGTTTTGACAATGCTGAAGTAAAAAAGGAGCATCTGTTACATGAATACGGAATGAAAATTTGTTAACTAAATTGATAACTATACTGAAATAAATAATTGTGGTATTCAATAGATGAAGGCTTTATTTTGATCATTAGTGGCCTTTATTTTTTTTTTAATTTTTATTAGCCAATGTTTTTTGTCATTTGACCAAGAAAGCATTATTTTAAACATACTTTCCAAATAAATGAAATAGTAAACTTAAATCAATAATATAATCATAATACTTAAATTATTAATATAATGGTACTATTTTCATTGCTACTTATCTATAATTATCAAAAAAGACTTGTATCTTATGTATATTTTCAATGAATTCTATTAAGAAATATTGCAAATCAATAATAAAACTATGCCTCAAAATATAAGTTTGAACTAATAATTAGTTTAGCTTGTATATGGCAATAAATCAATATTTTAATCGAATTTCGATATAAAAAAGAAAATAAATATATTAATGAATGCTTGAATTATTTGATCTCACATTAATAGTAATAATAATATAGATCAAACTACTTAAAATTTAGTAATCTTAATTTGTCAAATGTAACTTCTTAGAAAATGGCTCATAAAATTCATTGCTTTTTAATGCTGAACCAGTTATAACTCATATAATTTAACCTCGTCTTTAATTATAAAATTATTTTTTCTTATATTTCCAGTACTGTTTCTAATTGTATTATTCTATGAATTGTGTCATAAATATTGCAAACCAATAATAGAATTATGCATCAACAAAAAAAATATAATTTTGAACCTATAATGAGCTTAGTATGTGCCAATAAATTACAATTTTAATTCTAATTTGATATATTGATATAAAAAACAGAACAATGATATTTATGAATTCTTGAATTATTTATTCTCACAATAATAGTAATATTAATGCAGTTCAAACTATCTAAAAACTTTGTAATTTTAATTTGCTTTCTAATTCTCAAATATAATTTCTTAGCAAACGGCTCATAAAATTCATTGAGTTTGAATATTAAACCATTTTATAATTATAACTGATGATTAAACCTTGCCTTGAATTATAAAAATAATTTTTCTTATTTCTTCAGTATATTTCCAAATTTTATTATTCCATGAATTGTGTCAAAAACTATTGAAACCAATAATGATAATATGCATTAAAATATAATTTTGAACTAATAGTTAGTTGAGATTGTATATGTTAATAATTACAATTTTAATTTTATTTTGATATATTGGTATGAAAAAACAGAATTTATAATTTATGAATGCTTGAATTATTTCTTTACACATTGATAGTAATATGATAATAAAATTCCTAAAAATTTTTGAATTATAATGTAACCTTTTAGAAAATGGCTCAATAAATTCATTGTGTTTGAATACTAAACCAATCATGTATAGTATAGTGCCTTAAGATAAAATGTTGCAACTTTCTCTATTGTAACTCAAAATTTTAAATGCTTTTTTTTAAATTAAATTTTTTTTTGAAAAAACAAACGGCTTTGCAGTCTAACCGTTAAATAATATAAATATAGGTATGAAACTCACTAAAAAAATAAAATTTTCACTTTTTACTAAAATCTCTACGAACTATCAGATTATTAAATGCACCATCTCCAATCATTGTTTTTGACCGCTAAATTGGTTTTTTTTAACTTTTATCACTAGATCTTTGTAGTCGTAGGACCTGGTTTCCATAAAACTTACTTAGTTATTAATTGCATCAATACAAGCAACATGTTTTTTAATTATTCAAATAGGACACTCCGTTTTCTCAAACACTGAACTGCCAAAAACTAATCAGCACGTCTCCCATCAAGGGAAATGTACGTTTTTTAAATCATTCAAATCGGTTCATCCGTGCTCCCGAAATCGTGGACGAAAAATTGTGATTTTACACTTTGACCAATTGATTTTTGTATAATTTGCATAATAGTTTTAACATTGTGGTACCAGTAGATTAGTTATTCTTTTTACAGAATCCAATTTGTCAAATTACAAAATTTCGAAAATTTTCATAACATATCTGACTGTTATCCTTACTTGAACTTTACTCTTTTGATGGCTGAACTTTCAAAGTTTTCGTGAAAATTGTATGTTTTCTTTTCGTTTTTCACCAGCCGCCTGACTAATGCTCCCCGTAACGAGTTTTTTATTGC